GGAAAACCTGAGGGGGGCCAAAATTCCCGGTTTTTCGAGCCCAAAATCCCACAGGGAGCGCCCGGAAAAATGGGAAGAGTCAAGGGAAAAAGGCAAGAAATGGGAATTCGCGCCGACGTTGATGGTTTTCAACCGAAAACGCCTCAGAATTTGGGAAAAATGAGGGGGAAACGGTTTTCCCAGTTTTGCCCCTTTTAAACGCAAAATTCCTCCGGGAGGCATTGGAAAAATGGGAAAAAATCGGGGATTTGCTCCGATTTCCACTTTCTTTTTGGCATCGAAAGCTCATCTCAAAAATCAGGAAAAAGTGGGAAAAATGAGGGGGAAACGGTTTTCCCAGTTTTGCCCCTTTTAAACCCAAAATTCCTCGGGGGGGCATTGGAAAAATGGGGAAAAAACGGGGATTTGCTCCAATTTTGGCATCAAAAGCTCATCTCAAAAATCCGGAAAAATTGGGAAAAATGAGGGGGAAACGGTTTTCCCAATTTTGCATCTTTTAAACCCAAAATTCCTCAGGGGGGCATTGGAAAAATGGGAAAAAAAATCTGAATTTGCTCCCATTTTGGCTTTCTTTTTGGCATCAAAAGCTCATTTCAAAAATTGGGAAAAATAAGGGGGAAAAATAAGGGGGAAACGGTTTTCCCAGTTTTGCCCCTTTTAAACGCAAAATTCCTCAGGGGGGCATTGGAAAAATGGGGAAAAAATCGGGGATTTGCTCCGATTTTGGCTTTCTTTTTGGCATCAAAAGCTCATCTCAGAAATCAGGAAAAATTGGGAAAAATAAGGGGGAAAAATAAGGGGGAAACGGTTTTCCCAATTTTGCCCCTTTTAAACCCAAAATTCCTCAGGGGGGCATTGGAAAAATGGGAAAAAAGTCGGGGATTTGCTCCAATTTGAGTTTTCATTCTGGCATCAAAAGCTCATCTCAGAAATCAGGAAAAACTGGGAAAAATAAGGGGGAAACGGTTTTCCCACTTTTGCCCCTTTTAAACCCAAAATTCCTCGGGGGAGCATTGGAAAAATGGGGAAAAAACGGGGATTTGCTCCAATTTTGACATCAAAAGCTCATCTCAAAAATCAGGAAAAATTGGGAAAAATGAGGGGGAAACGGTTTTCCCAATTTTGCGTCTTTTAAACCCAAAATTCCTCAGGGGGGCATTGGAAAAATGGGAAAAAAAATCTGAATTTGCTCCCATTTTGGCTTTCTTTTTGACATCAAAAGCTCATTTCAAAAATTGGGAAAAATAAAGGGGAAACGGTTTTCCCAGTTTTGCCCCTTTTAAACGCAAAATTCCTCAGGGGGAAAAACCAACAAAAACCGGCAATTTTCACCAATTGTGCTGCTTTTGCATCAAAATCCCTCAGGAGGCGCCTCAAAAATCTGGGAAAAATGGGATTTTTTTTACCCATTCTGCCATTTTGGCATCAAAATTCAGGAAAAGTCGGGAAAGATTTGGGAATTTTTGCCCCGATTCCGCCATTTTGGCATCAAAAGTCAGGAAAAGATGGGAAAACTTTGGGAATTTTGCCCCGATTCCGCCATTTTGGCATCAAAATTCAGGAAAAGTCGGGAAAACCATGGGAATTTTTGCCCCGATTCCGCCATTTTGGCATCAAAATTCGGGAAAAGTCGGGAAAACTTTGGGAATTTTGCCCCGATTTTGCCGTTTTTTCCCTTTTTGGTGCCATTTTCCTCCATTTTTCCTCCCCAGGCTCAGCTGAGGCAGCTCCAGGAGCAGCTCCACGTGCAGCTGGACCGAGTGGCCGCGCTCCAGGAGGTGGAAAGATCCCAAAAATCCCTCCTGGACGAGCAGGACGAGCGGATCCACCAGCTGGAGATGGAGCGGCGCCGCCTCCACAACGACATCCAGGAGCTCAAGGTGGGTTTTTTATGAGGGGAAAACCCCCCGAAAACGTTCCCAAAATCCCTAAATCCTGATTTTTCCCGGTTTTCCAGGGGAACATCCGCGTGTTCTGCCGGGTGCGGCCGGTGCTGCCGGAGGAGTCGGAGCGGCAGCGGGGGCTGCAGCACCTGCACTTCTCCCCCCACGACCCCAAAACGCTCGTGCTCACCCGGCCCGACGAGGTGGGAAAAAATGCGCCCAAAAATGCCCTTTTTGCCCCCTCAAAAAGCCCTTTTTTCCCCTTCAAAAAGCCCTTTTTTCCCCTCAAAAATGTCATTTTTTTCCCCTCAAAAATCACTTTTTTCCCCCCTCAAAAATGTCGTTTTTTCCCTTCAAAAGTGTCACTTTTTTCTCCTCAAAAATGTCATTTTTTCCTCTCAGAAATGTCATTTTTTTCTCCTCAAAAATGTCATTTTTTTTCCCTCAAAAATCTCTTTTTCCCCCTTTCAAAAATGGCCCTTTTTCCCCTCAAAAATGTTGTTTTTTCCCCTGCAAAACCATCGTTTTTTCCCCTCAAAAATTCCACTTTTTCCCCTCAAAAACATCCTTTTTCCCCTCAAAAATCCCACTTTTTCCCCTCAAAAATCCCATTTTTCCATCAAAAATATCCCTTTTTTCCTTTAAAAACCTCCTTTTTCCCTCAAAAATCCCACTTTTCCTCCTCAAAAATCCCACTTTTCCCCTCAAAAGCATCCTTTTTTTCCTTTAAAAACCTCCTTTTTCCCTCAAAAATCCCTTTTTTCCCCTTTCAAAAATCCCTTTTTTCCCCTCAAAAATGTCATTTTTTCCTCTCAAAAATGGCCTTTTTTCCCCCTCAAAACCATCCCTTTTTTCCATCAAAAATTTCCCTTTTTTCCTTTAAAAACCTCCTTTTTCCCTCAAAAATCCTACTTTTCCCCTCAAAAACATCCTTTTTCTCCTCAAAAATCCCACTTTTTCCCTCAAAAATTCCATTTTTCCATCAAAAACATCCTTTTTTTCCTTTGAAAACCTCCTTTTCCCCTCAAAAATCCTACTTTTCCCCTCATAAACATCCTTTTTCCCTTTAAAAACCTCCTTTTTTCCTCAAAAATCCCACTTTTTCCCCTCAAAAATCCCACTTTTTCCCCCTCAAAAAATCCTCTTTTTACAACAAAAAAGACCTTTTTGGGGGGTAAAAATCCCATTTTTTCCCTTTAACCCTCTTTTTTCCACCCCTCCAACTCCCCCTTTTCCCCCAAATCCCATTTTTTCCCCCCTAAATCCCATTTTTTTCCCCCCAAATCCCCTTTTTGTCCCAAAAATTCCCATTTTTTCCCCAAATTCCCGTTTTTTTCCCAGTCCCACGTGGGGCGGGAGCGACGCCCGGAGCTTCGTTACGACTTCAGCTTCGACCGCGTCTTCCCGCCCGCGGCTTCCCAGCACGAAATATTCCAGGAAATCCAGCTCCTCGTCCAGGTGCCTCCCAAAAAATCCCCCCTTAACCCCTCTGGAACTCAACATTCCCAAAAATCCCGGCAATTCCACCCAAATCCTGCTCCAGCCCCCCCAGCGTTCCCAAATCCCCCTCAGAATTCCCAAATCCCCCCCCAGTGTTCCCAAATCCCTCTCAGAATTCCCCCGGCATTCCCGAAATCCTCCCTCTCACCTGCCAAAATTCCTGGAATTTCTCCTCAAATTCCCTGAATTTCTCCTCAAATTCCCTGATTTTGTCCCCAAATGCCCCCAAATTCCCTGAATTTCTCCCCAAGTCCCCCAAATTTCCCCCAAATTCCCTGATTTCCCGCCCAAATTCCCTGATTTTGCCCCCAAATTCCCTGAATTTCCCCCCAAATTTCCCCCCAGATGCCCCCAAAATCCCAGAATTCCCCCCAAATTCCCTGATTTTCCCCCCAAATCCCCCCAAAATCCCCCCTGAATCCCCGCAGATTCCCTAAATTTCCCCCCAAATCCCCCAAAATTCCCCCCAAATCCCCCAAAATTCCCCCAAATTTCCCCCCAAAATTCCCCCCAAATCCCCCAAATTTCCCACCAAATCCCCCCAAAATCCCCCAAAATTCCCCCCAAATTCCCCTCAAATCCCCCAAATTTCCCCCCAAATTCCCTGAATTTCCCCCCAAACCCCTTGAAATTCCATGAATTCCCCCCAAATTTCCCCCCAAATCCCCCCGAATTCCCTAAATTTCCCCCCAAATCCCCTCAAATCCCCCAAATTCCCCCCAAATCCCCCCAGCATTCCCAAAATTCCCTGAATTTTCCCCTAAATCCCCCAA